GTGCGTGCGTGCGTGCGTGCGTGCGTGCGCGCGTGCGTGCGTGCGCGCGTACAGATGTGATGTCCAGTTTGAACCTACAGAGTGAGGACATTTTGTGAAAGTGAGGACATTTGGCTGGTCCTCACTTTCTGACCCACTTTAAATGGGCTGTTTCAGGGTTAAGTCTTGGTGTTAGGGTTAGAGTGAGGTTTAGATTAGATAAGGGTTGGGTTAGGCATTTAGTTGTGATGGTTAAGGTTAGGGTAAGGGGCTAGGGAATGCATAATGCCAAACGAGTGTCCTCAATAAGACAGATGTACAAGACGTACAAGTATATGTGTGTATATTAATTTTTGTTATAACTTGATGATGATGATGCCCTAGTGGACAGAACATTGCTATAGTTAATGGGTGGATGACTTGATATCTGCCTCTTTTGTCTTAAGCTTGTATGAGTTTCATTAATCTATCAGTTGATCAACAATTTTGACAATCGATACATTTTTTTATGTCTTGATTATCACATTTTTATGATCTCTTCTGAACCCCTAATGGGGACACCTTTTATTGTGTCATTTCTTTCAAGCAAAACTGTCAAAACATCTCTGATTCCAGCTTCTTAGTCGTGGATAGCTGCTTCTCTTTAGATTGATTAAATCGACAGAAATGACTGGCAGCTATTTGAAGTATACCAAGCATCCTCTGATTATCTCCTTAGGTTAGGTCTGGAGGATACTGCTAAAATGATATTTTTTAGTATAAACACACAGAAAATGACAATAATAACGCTTGATAAACAGCAGAGTATTTTATTAATCTTAGGTCAATCAATTATGCGTTATACCTCCTCCTCATGCTGCACAATGCATATGCATTATATCAATACATATTGGACTTTTATTATGTTGCTATCGATGTAAATGATATTGCAATAATTATTGATCTTGTTTTATTGCCTCAGATATTATTTCTTTGTATTATTAAATATATTTGGGCTTTGGAATATTTGTCTGACAAAAAAACAGACATGAAGAGGTTACCTTTACCTTCAAATTTCAGATCCCATGATTGATTTTTTTGAGAAAATGATGAGTAGATTTTGTCTTCTGTTACAGTAAATAGAATATTACAACAGTATGTACATGTCATTTGGTTGTGATGTTCAGTTTTAAATTAATTGACCAGGCGATTGTGAAAATGATCAATAGTTGCAGTTTGTGTAACAGCTGCTACAAGAGTACAGTATGAATGGCATGTTGGATTTATTGACCTTTCAATATGAAATCAAAGCAGTTGGAGTTGCAGCTGATTCTTCTATTTGAGAATCTGTGATTCACCATGAATGGAAGGTGAGGCGCTGAAGGCGTGTGCGCTCAAACAATGTTGGAGAGTGAGGAATCAAGACTGTGACCAGCGTAGTGGTGGGGGTGAGTCAGGGAGGGGCTTATTCAGGCTTACATAAGTGCTCAGCTTCTTTCACCCGACTCTGAGCGAGAGGGAGGCTGCTCAGGCAACACGCTCTCTATTTGCCTCTCGCGGTTGTGCGCGGCAGGGGATGAGAGCTGATGTTTTATTGATGCCCAGCTTGTGTTAGTCTGTGCATGTTATAGTGTAGACTAAAGAGGGAGAGCGGAGGTGTAGTAACAACGCTGCTGTGTTTAGCAGGTGGACATCAAGTTGACATCCAACAGTGGTGATCTGTGTGTAGGTATGGACATAGCTGCTCTGCATCAAGGTTACTCCAGTAATATCTACTCGCCTCACTATCAGGTAGGATTGCCAGTTTCCAGCACGGGATTCAAACTGAACTGTCAGCCCATATAAGAGCGTTTCAGTTGCATTGTGATAAACTGTTCTCCTGTTCCACTTGACTATTTTAAATTCTTATTCACTTTGGTGTTCAAGTCAGATTTCTTATTATAGCCTATGATTCTCTTCCAGCATTGAAGCTGTGCACATTCTGCATGTTTGTGTTTATTTGCCTATGTTTTCTCTGTATATTTCAGCATGCATCAGATAATCCGTGCAGGTGGTCCTGTGTGTTTGTGTGTAGTAACACTCGCTCATGTGTGTATTTCAGCACTCTCTATAGTCTAGATCTCACATTGGGGGTGTGGATGAATATTGAAGCGTCACAAAGTCAGAAACTCACGTGCGAGGCTTCCAAAACACAGCTGACAACGCACTTAACAATGTGTGAACACAAACACGCAGCAGACGGCTCACAGTGTGAGACATTAAACAAGAGGTTCTGATGCCAGTTGCAGCAAAAGCATTGATTTCAAAGTCATACTTGTTAATTAATTATTGACTGCTGCCATGTTAGAGCCACTGGTATCACAGAGCTGCACGTGTCTGAGAAGCAGTTTGAAGTCAGACGATGAGTTTTTGATGTTTTTGGAGTCCCAGACGTCTGAGTCAGATAAGAAAAGAAACTTGGCGTCAGGTGAGGTTGAACTGATGCCTCTAAGGCTTTTATTTTTAGCTTCACGTGGATTTAACCCATACTGTCCGCTGACTCATCAGGAATATTGAGGCATCATGTACTTTATGAACTCCCTGTCATTATGGTTAATGGTCCAGAACGGATCTTATCTATCTGCAGTTTTTCTTTGGAAGCAATGTTTTATGATGATTTTATAAATGTGATGTTGAACACATGTTTGTGGGGTGAAGTAGAGCTGAAATTATTTGTTTCGACTTCAACTGGGGACTGGGTTCATGGTCGTCGATTTATTAATCACTGTGAGGCAAACACAAAAGAGTTAACGGGGAGGCAAAGATACTGTGCGAGGTGACTTCTAGTCAAAAATCACTCTCTTTGTTTAATCAAGTCTGAACACAGACATTAAACATATGTTGACATCCTTCAGTTACACTTCTCGAGGGTACCATTATCTGTAATGAATTGTGAATAATGGTTGATAAGTAATGTTTAACTGTAATCAAAATGTTGATGTTTAAGAACTTGCTTCAGAATTTTCACATTTTTAAGTTTTCTTCAGTGTCATAGACATCCAGTGCTATTTGTCTATACATTATTGAATACATTGCTAAAAGGATGTCCTAGTACCTCATTTAACATCCTTAAATGCTGCCAGTCTGCCAAGATATTAACATAGGTACTGCAAAATAGCAGTACCTGTATCTGACGTTACAGCAGCAGCTTTTACAAGAAAAGGTAATATTAAAATCAACTCAGCTTCAAAAGAGAAATAAATCCTGTTCGAAAGATGCTCAGGTCAAACAACATTGTTGGGAATATAATATTAAGATGAGCAAAAGAGAAGAATTCTACTTCCTGTGACGTCCGTTGTTGTCTTTATTCAAGGGATATCTTTCAGACCCTCTTACATTTCATCCATATGTCTGTTCCTCTGCAGCTTGAGGCTTTGAAACAGCAGAACTCCAAATACCAGGAGGAGCTCAGTCTGTCGAAGGAGCGCAGCAGCTCAGAAAACCAGCGTATGGGAGTCCTCTGCAAGGAAATGTAAGTAGACAGGATAATTGATGCTTCTTTTTCCTGGCTCGTGTATCCAATAACGGTTGCAGCCAGCCAGTTCATTAGAGTGGTGTGGTAAAATTTGGTGATTAAAAAAAATCCAGTTTGCATTTCCAAGCTCCACTGTAAACCTATACAAAGAAAGGACTGTGTGCAAATGTGGCTTGATTTAATTACATATAGTCAATACAAACATGTAAACAGTGTCTTTAATGGTCGACCACTGAAATGCCAAGTGTGGTATTAAGGTGGCTCCATCTCCAACTCTCTGGAAACACATTTCCAACTATAAGCCATTGTGTAAATCCCATAATGAGCTGCAGCCTTCTATTTTGAGATTGTGGACATGATATTGGAGTGGAGAACAATAGTCAGGAAACCTCCCACCTCCTTGGGTGTTTATGGCTTTTATATAAACATTTCTAAAGTCTTGACTGAAAATGCCAAGATCCTTTCAAATGCACGTGGTTTCCATCTGTCTCTGTATGGACTGAGACATAGATAGATAGATAGATAGATAGATAGATAGATAGATAGATAGATAGATAGATAGATAGACAGATAGATAGTTGTTCACTGCAATGGATTACATAACTGTTTTATATGTAAATCAATGAAAACAAATGAGAAAAAAACACTTTTGAAACACATTGTCATTGTTTATTTTGTGTTAATATTCATACACCTTCCCTGTATCATAACTACACAGAACCATAACATTTCTTTTAGATTCAGTGGGTTTTTTATGCTTTCATTATCTTTGAAAAATGAATAAACATCCATAGCATAGATATAATAAGAAAAAAAGGCTTGCCTAACAATCATTAGGTTTTTTTAAGTTTTCCTCAGTGATAGTTGTCTATACATTCATAGACATGTAGTAATATAGAGCTGCTAATAGCTTTTTTAGGATCATTTTAATGTAATTACTTTCCCAAAATGTAAACAAATGCAGGCAAAAATAAATAAGCTCATGTTGTAACCCATAGCAAACAGATTCCATGGGAACTTAATACTTAATGTTCCACAGTATCAGAAAACTCAGACTGAAACCATGAAAACCCCTTCATCCTTTAAGAACTCATGAATTGACGGAGCAATAGATAAACAGATTATGAAATATTGCTTTCACAGTATTTGCTTGAAAATAATTGTAGAAAATATGAATTAGTAGCAGATCTCAGAGTGATTGTTCTGCTGAAGCATGAGGTTTTTGATGCACAGTCAAAAAAAAAATCCATCTTTTACAAGCATGTTTTTACTTTGTTGTGTTTGTGGTGGATCTCCAGTCTCATGTGGAGGTCTATTTATAGACCTTGTGTATGTATGTTGTGTGTGTGTGCACGTGTGTGTGTGTGTGTGTGTGTATGTGGTGTGTTTCCATGCATGCGTTTTTGAGTCTCAACGTCATCCTGCCACACCTCCCCTGAGTCATAAGAGTCCCAAGCTGTGACATCAGAGCTCCAGCTGGATGTAACTGGCTGAATTATAGTCATCAATTACAGCTTCCTGTAGCAGCAGATGGAGTCGAAGAAAAAATGTGTTTAGTTGAAACGAAACCAGCTTCATCCACCTTTGTCTGCTTTATCCTGCCTTAATAATTAAAAAGCACATGTCTGTACACTGAGGAGTCATGTGAATCACCACAATGGCTGGGTTCTCTTTCCCAACCTCCACCTCCATCCTGTCCTGCACCAACACTGCGTTCCTCCATCCTTGCCGAGGCACATCCTTCCTCAGTCTGTTGCTGTTATGTAATTGCTGCGTCTCCTCCTAGGACCGCCTGGCTCTAACATGGCCACTTCTCTCTCAGTGACATCAGAGTGTGTGTGTGTTTGTTTGTGTGTGTTTTTCCTAATGTGTTTGTTTGGGTGGAATCAATGAGGCTTTTGTGGCATCTGAGAGAGCAGCTGTATCCACCGCAGCACAGAATTTGACACCCTGTTTGTGTTACTCCATCTCAAATCTTGATGGGTTTGTCTATGGAAGCCAATGAAACCCTTTGTTTAAAGAAGGAAACATTAGCTTTCAGTTTGTGGTTTGATATCGCAAATATTTTCTGCTCATGTATCATTTTCCTATGAAGCTCCATTGTTGTCCAATAACTGTTAAAAATACATAATGCATTCACACATACATTAAAAAATTTAACTTTATGACTGTGAGATGTATTTAAATGGCTTTTTACATGGCTTCAGCAGAAACCTTGAGTGGCACAGAAAGGTTCAGTAAGTCAGAAAGTATGTTGCAGAAGTATTTTGCAATCGCTTTGGAAAAAAAAAAATTTGCTCTGTTTTTCTGAATGAATGAGAACTCATAATCCTTATATGTTCCGTCTGAACAAGTACTGAGGTGCCTGCACAAAGCAGACAAATAACAATGGCGTCCATATTACTGAAAGACACAAGCACCAATGTCTCAAACCCAAACCAGAATAAAACGGGATCAACCCACACAGGCGGGATATGGTGGGAGATAGGATAAACCTTTTCTCAGAATTCCAAGGTTATAATCTAATTAATTTAAAAAAGCTTTTAAGGTGAATGCAATACACTTTGGTAATATTGTACTGACTAGTTAACACATTGTTGGTTTTATTTTTGTCATGTGTCGTCTTTTGCAATAGAGCACTTGTCTTGCTATGTTTTGTGGACCTATGTATCGGTTGAGTCTGGGAGAGCAGTGACGTTTCATTTCAACACTCTTTATAAAACATTCTATGTCATTATACATCAGGCAGCTAAATATTTCACCCAGATGGGGCTCAGACTGGGATATTCGTCACGCAGAGCTCCACAGTTCCTCATTGGACACAAATCCTATGAATGACCCACATGGAGCTAAACTCAATTTCTCCAGCAAATCATTTGGTTCCACCATCCAAAAATAAACCAGACTTATAAGTGTGACTTTGATCATATGCACAGATTAGATTATCAGCTTTTTAATATCCTGATTGAGTTTTTCACTCGGGTTGTTTGCATATTATATCTTAGTGCTGAGGAGAATATAAACCACTGTGGGCTTTACAGTCATCAAATCCTATAAGATGTGTAAAAGAGAGAGTGTAGTAGTCGACATAAGCAGCAGAGATACAGCAACAGATGGCTTTTTGAAAGATTACTCTGTAGATCATTATAAATCTTTACAGTAGATTGCAGCGAATCAACTCAAGATGCTTGTAGTTCAAACTGACTTTGCCTTTGACCGACATGCAGCTGGGTTTAGAATAAAAATGTAGTTTATATAAAATAAATCAAAGAGTTAGACTGGTACAGTTTCCTTGGTTTGCTGTAATTGTTTAGATAGATACAGTTATCACCTGACACCGCAATCAAGCCACACCAATTGCACACACTCATATATGTCTTTTAAACCAAAATAAGAGGATGTTTTGGGGGTACACAGCTAAATGTGTTGTACTATGACAATTAGGACATTTCAATGTACTACGGTATTCTATTCTATTTGTTTTATGGATGACCGGAGAGACTTCAGTGGGTTAAATTATTATTTTTTGGAACACTTGGGAGATTGGATGCATGATCTTCAGCACTGACCTCTTTTGCACCTTACTACTGACATGCATATTTGGATCATACAGCAGTGACTGTACAACTCAAGTTATCTTTGTGTGCATGCTTAACAGATGTGAACCCATTTAACATCTGGCAGGCTTAGATTTAAGCATATACTGTAGTGACGGTGACACAGATAATATAGAAACCTTTAGTGCAGCACTAAAAGGACTTAAAAAGTGAGTCACCTCTCCTTTCTCTGTCTTCCCTCTCAGTGAGGAGCTGAAGCTGGCCTCCCAGAAGTCTCTCGACGAGGTAATGACCCTTCCCACTTTCACATTATAGAAACTATTACCTTCATCCTGCAGTAAGTGTTTGTTGAACCAGACACGGTGATTTGATTAATAGGTTTTGGCATCGTGAGGATAGACTTCCTGCTGTGGCTGAACTCCTAAAGCGCAGACGGGTTAAGCCTCGAGTTTAATGCTTCTATATTTGTGTGTGTTTGCCTCTCAGCACAACGACGATCGCAACAATCAACAACCGGACATGAAGACCAGGTAATGTGATCTTATTTTTATTTCAGTAAAGTCACTTACACTGATGTACTCTGACTTTAATGGAGCCACTTTTCGTCATTTCCTGGTTATAGTTGTAAAAAATAGAAATTGGTGTTATTTAAATATAATCGTTTTAAACGATTGATTGTTGATGATAATCGTTAAATCCCTCACATTCATCATGTAACAATGAAAGTTCTATAGAATGCACTTTCTGTGTAAGGGCTTGATTTTAATTCCATTGAATAACACTTGAACACAGCTTTATGTAGATTTAAAGCCTGTTTTGTGTTTATCTAGTTGAATAGCATAGAAAATATATAGACCTGCAGCTGTTTATTATTGCTGTTATTATGTCTTATTTCTATTTTATTATTCATGGATTAATCTGCTGAGAGAAAGCAGCAAATACTCAGCTTGAAACCAGCTCATTTAGATTTCTTAAAAGTGACTTGAAATTATCCGAATATTTGTCAATTAGTTTTGTGTCAATAATTGTTGCATTACTACAATAATAAGATGTGATGTCTTAGTGAATATTAGAGGTGCTGGTAGTTGGATATTTGAAACAGATTGGAACGGTTGGAACAGAGCCAGGTAAGCTGTGTTACAATCTTTCTGCCAAGCTTCAGTAACTTCTGGCTATAACTTCATCTCCAATGAACAGATATTAGAGTGGTGATGATCTTTATATTTGAATCTTATCAGGGAAGTGAGATTGCATATTTTCCAAAATGTCAAAAAAATGCTCTAGATATTTCAGTTTTTATTAAATCAAAACTTAAGAAATACAAAAATAGTGGTTGCAGAATTTAACCCTGGGTTACTCCACATATTAAAGGGGCTAGAGATGGAAAAAATACTATCACCAACCAAAATAAATAAAAAAAACAATAAATATGACAAAAACCATGTATGGCGGTTTCAGATAAACCAACCCGCTGTTGTAGATCATTTATAAATATAGGATTGGGATCCTGAAAGCATTTTATTGAACCATATCTCATTAGGTTTAGCTTCCATCATTAATAAATAACTAAAGCTGTAAAAACTATAACTTAAACATTCACTTCAGGTCTGTTATCATCTGTCATTGGACGACAAGTGGCTCGAAGCAGAAAATAAACCGAGACGCAAAAGATCTGAAGTGTTGATCACTGATCGAAATCAGTTGTTATGACATATTTTTACACTATTTTACTAGTTGATCCAAATACTCAAGCTCCTTCACCATGGTGATGTAATGAGCTCAAAATATTAGCTAATACTTTCTCTTGAGAAGAGTCTCCACCCTGGATGTATTGTATCCATGGTTTCCACTGTGTTGAACCACAAAAACAGGGATGTGTCTTTTCACTTACACAATCCAGTCAGCGTCTTGGAGAGCACAAGAAACAAGAGAATAACGTTTCAGTGGAAGTATTAACATTTATTACCTACTAATATAATCCTATTATTCTTATTAATTTTCCTATTAATTGTATCTGGTGTTGGCTGTAAATAAGAAGCTGCTAACATTAGCTCCATGTCATTGGTGTCAGAGCTTCACGTAATCGGGGTATTTTCCAGATCTGAAGTGGATCTGTCTATCAGGAACCAACCCTTCAGGGACCGATGTAGATTAAATGTAGTTTTCTAAATTTGCATAAGATTAACAGTTTTCTTAGTTTGAACAATAGCAGACATCTGATAGGACATTTCAAGAGACAGTTTTAAAATGTGATTTTAGTTTCTATATCTTTTCATTGTGTTGTTTGGCCTTATTTTAGCTCTTTCTAAGTCTAAGAACAAAGGAAGCTGTGAAAATCTCAGTTTAAAACACGTCACCGCTTCTACAGAGCAGCGAGTGAAGTTGAGAGTGAGCGTAAAATAAAGCGAAGCATGGCAGACAGCAGAGGACAGATGACAGTAATGGAAGAAAGATGTGCATTTGGTATAAGATGGGAGCAGCAGCGGGATGTGAAGAGAAGCTGACAGCTCTGTGGTTTTGACCAGAGGGGAATGAGGAGGTGTTGTGCAATGAAAGCAGAAAGAGTAGACGTTGAGAGAGATGGTGTGTTCTCAGGTGAACGTGAAAAAAAAGACAGGAGATGTGATGCAGTGGAACGATGCGCGGCTCATCCAGTCTCATGTCATGGAGATGTTGTGCCAGTTGTTGTTTTGAGCTGTGGTAATTGATTCTGGAGGCAGTTCTGTCAACACATAAAAAGGAGATTCTGGGATGTGAATTTGTATTAAATCCTTAGTTTGTTGTGTGTTTTGTATCTGCTCATTTGTTTTATTTCTCTTGAATAGGAAAAGAAAGTAGAACATTGTTTTTATCAGCTTGAAAAAACAAACTACACAGACTTAGTGTCCCATTTTATTCAGTGTCTAATTAAATCAATCCCAGTTCAGTGTGTGCCAACATAGCAAGCCTAAATGTGAAGTCTCTTATTGATTTTGCCAGAAGTGTTGTAGACGATGAGAGATGTGTTATAGTCATAAAGACTACAAACGAGAACTAAAACAGTTTGTAGTTGTGAAATGCTATCAACAACGAATATCAGAGCAGAAGCCCCCGTATGTCCATGTTAGCAGGGTTCAGTGATTTTATAGTGTCAAATCAAGTCACATATATTTATATAGCACATTACAAACAACAGGAGTTGAGCCAAAGTGAGCCTGACATCGATATATATAGTTTCATCGATTAGATGATATATTTTCTTTTACATTTTTAAAGCAACTTAAGATATTTCTCCATGTTATCATTATTGTGTTTTAATGAATTCATCCAACTCTAGTATGACTATTATTGTTCAGTGTTTCACATGTGTAATAGGGACTTTTCTGTCTGGATGTGCGTCGTTTACATGCCAGTCATCTGTATTGGTGTCACTACAGTGTTTTAGAGCAGATTGAGCAGGTGGAATATTAATAACGCCCCCGCATCAGGATCAACACTCACATTAGCACAGGCATTAGAGACAAAGTTGAAATTAGAGAGTTGACAGAGATAAAATGGTGAAGACTTTCTCTCGTGTGTTGGAGTAGAAGTGTTACTCATTACTTCACAGCTGTTTTTGCATAGAGCTGTCCTCAGGTTTGAGTTTGCTGCAGTTTGACGACTCTCTCTAATTCTGGCTTTTTTTTCCACAGAGAAACCATCTCTAATCGGGAACTGGAGGAGGAAGTAAAATTCCAGAAGTCAACTGGAGCCTTAACCTCAGACAAAGATCGGGAACTGGAAACTCTGAGGACTGAGGTGCTCACTCATGACTTTCACCCTGTCTTCTCATTTCTTGGACAGTCTCCATTGAGCTGCATGAGTTATTTATCTGTTTGCTCTCTCGCTGCAGATCGCAGTTCTTCGAGGAGAAAACGCCATGGCAAAGACCCTGCAGTCGGCCGTTGAGACGTTGGAGCGAGACAAAGCTCAGCTGCAGGGTCGTGTTTGCAGTCTAGAGCAAAGGCTCATGGGAACGCAGACCTCCGAGGGAGAAGACAGGGAGGCGCCACTATCGAGTAAGGAGACAACGATTGGAGCATTAATGCTCTGGGCTGAGGAGGAGACACTTCTTGTTTCCCACCTGTTTACTGATTCATGGTGTGTTTCTGCAGGCGATGCGGCTCTCGAGCAGCTGAGAGAAGAGAAGGAGTTCGCTGAGGGACAGGTGAGACTGTCATGATGCTTCCCATGTCCATGTGCATGTGCAGGGTTCTCAGTTGTCCTCTGTGCCTATATGAAGGTGACCTGTGTCCTAACTGTCTCCGTCAGATCAACTTCCTGAACAGTGTGATCGTGGACCTGCAGCGGAAGAACGAGGAGCTGAAGATCAAACTGAAGAAGCTCGCTCTGGCTGAGTTCAATGGCAACGACGGGACTGATGGGTAAGAAATATACAAATATACATTGATTATTAGCTGCTTTTATTCGTTTAATTTTATTGTAAATTTAATACATTTGATTTTTGAATTCTTGGTTACACAAAACTACAAGATTAAGACAATAAGGAAAATAGGTGCAGCTGTATTCTAAAGTTTTCTCAGGACCTTTTCGGACCTGGTATTAACATCCCACATACATCATTTCTTTATTTTTTTATATATTGGTTCTAATGGTTAATCTTGGACAAACCACACACAAAAGAAAACTCCGTACCTGTCCCCCAACCCAAATCTGAGTCAACAAACACATGCAGTCACTCATACATACACATATATATCAAGGGGAAGGGACACAAGCAAAGTTACGCAACATAAACAAATGTTTAACAAATGAAATCCAGGACACATGAGTGAAAAAAGGAGAAAAAATGAAATCCACACCAGTCGATACATAGACCAGTGTTATTTCTGTTCACACACCACATTGTGTTGTGAGAGACAGGGAGCGGGGCAAGGAAAAGCTGAGTGAATCAAATCAATAAAATAAAATAATTCAATAGAAAATCAGTGTATGGTGGTAAGAGTTGATCAGTGTGGTGGCCACAGATGAATCAGTGTGTAAGAAGCTTCTGTCCTTCATTCGTGGCCCAAAACACATTTGCATTCATACAGCTCATTACATTATATGTCATTTAGCTGACGCTTTTATCCAAAGCAATTTCAACTTATTGTGTTCAACATCTATGAGGAACCATTCAGGGTTCAATCTTTCCCTGGTTCACCTCGGCATGGGCAGGGAGTCGAGCTGCCGATCTTCTGGTTTGAGGACTACCGCTCTACCCCCTCAGCCACAGCCGACCACCACAGCTAAAGAAATGCATCTCAGACCACCGCCCAATGTGGTCTTTGATGCCTTTACGCCTGAACTCTGAGCTGTCCACTTGTGATCGGCTCACACAGAATCCATGTGAATACCAGGTGAAGAGAGATAAAGATTAAAAATGGACAACCAAAAAGTCAAAGTGAGTGTAAGAGACAAATGAATTCTGCAGACACAAGATCCCTATCTATACAGAATAAAATCAAATAGAGACGCACAGACATGATGGAAATGTGGGTTATATTTTCTGGGTTGAAGAAAGGAAAAAAACAGCCACATGAACCACATCTGTGACAAAAGAGTTTTATATGAATCCTGAAAAGCTTTGCATAATGTCTTAGACCATTGCAATGAGAAAATAGAAGAACGAGTCCTGCACAGACCAGAACACATCCAGAGTAGCACCTCCCACAGGTTAAGACTAATATTTCATTTCAGTCCCAGTTGAGGATTACAATATTATATTTTCTCTTTGCCACCTAGTTTTGATGAAGCCATATCAAAGCGGGAAAAGAAGGCGACCCCCCGCCTGTTCTGCGACATCTGCGACTGCTTTGACCTCCACGACACAGAGGACTGTCCCACTCAGGCCCAGAGCCCCGACTCTGTACCTCACACCACCTACCACGGTAACCCAGCCAACGAAAGGCCCTACTGTGACATCTGTGAGGCCTTCGGACACACCACAGAGTCCTGCAACGATGACCAGACCTTCTAGAGCCTCCGACAACTCTCCCTGCATTTTAATTCCTTCCCTTTCCTCTTTGGTCTCACTTTTATGCACATCTCACCTCTTACTCTCCTGCTACATTTCCCTCAATCCAGCCCAACATGCCTGCAGATTCTCCCATATTGTATTTTTATACTGTATTTAAGCATATCACTGGTAGCCACTGTTTTGACCCAAATCCTTTACCCCGCAGCTCTTTCTCAGAGGAGTAACGGTTCTGTAATGCAGAATGTTCGTCCAAATATGCTGCTTTGGTGCAATATTGATGTTTAGAACAAAAGGAATCCGTCCGTCCTCTGCACTTGTTGTTTTTAACGTGTCGTTTTGGAGTCAAGGTTGTTTTCAAAAATGAGCGTCAGTGTTCACATTCAATGTGTTTTGGGCTTTATTAGTAAAAATGTGACGCAACCGAGTGAAGCACAGTTAAAACTGAAGGGAAAGTTTTTTGAGACTTGACATTTCCCAAACTTTACATTCCTGTCCTCTGTATCACATTCCTCAATCTGTTTGGGTGTAAACCAGTCAGATACTGATACAGAGATACTGCCACATTTTTTACTGCTTAATAACATTTAACAAAGACATTTTGTCAGTTAATAGAAACTTACATCAGAGTGTTAGGGCCACTTCTAAAGGAGACATACTGCTCATATTCAGGTTCATCAATTGAATTGTTGTTATTGTAGTATTCAAGTATTGCTTGAAAAGGTTTACATGCTCTGTTGTGATTGGTTAACTGCTTCCAGCTCACACAGGAGATGTCAGCCTCTGCTCTCGCTGAACCAGCCTTTATTAAGGGACGTGCCAGATTTGCTGCTTGGCATTAATTAGACCTGCGATGTCATGTGACGTCGCGATGATGCGGAAGTATCGGCCGCACTAATGACGAGGTGAGAGACTTTTTAACTTTGCAGAACTCACACACACAAAAAAACGTGTGTAATGCAGTCGAGGAAAGAAAAACTGAAACAAAAACATTTAAAGAAAAGGTGGTTTTATGAGAAAGAGAATATTTTGAGTTTGAGAAACCTTTTAATATTTAAGCAAAATGTTTTATTTTGAAGAATGTACATGGTGTATTATGAAACTTAACAACTTTATGATTATTTTTTGTTTACTTTAACTTAATTAAAACATTTTGAAATATTGTGATTTTAATCTAATGATATTACAATATTAGAATATTTAAAATTACTACAACATTACTTTTGAGATATTATGGTATCACTCTAATCTTCTCATAAAAGCACAGCGTATTAAGACAATATCCTTGATATATTTTGACAGTATTCTCTATTATAGCTTTTTTTTTTTACTGTTGTCTCTCTAAATATCCCAATTTCACACATTTTCAGCTTTTTGCTTTCAATTTTACAACTTCACTCTCAAATCGTTTTGACTTGATTCTCTACATCACTTTACTTTATTCTCTAAATATTCAAACTTTTTAGTGGCCCTAGTGCTCCGTCTAAGTGTGAACACGTGGTGAACCGTTCCTTCTTGACCTTGGGAATCCTAGTTTCCATGGTAACTAGTCCTTTCCCGAGCTTTCAACTCTCTCTTGAAGTTTATTCCCGAGTTTGCATGTAAGTGAAACAGTTTGCACCATGTGTGGAGTGTTAGCGCCACCTATCGCTGAAGACTGGCTGGTGGATGTTGAGTTAAAGAGCGACCCAGTTGATTTTACACATGAAGGACAGGTTGATCTTTTTACTTGCTTACTTTTCTTAGATGGAGTGGCTCACAACGTTCGGTCCATTTAACTGGCGCCCTGGAGCTTTCACATATCCCACACGTCAGTAGAAGAAGTTCCTATGGTTGTCATGAAATTGCAGAGATCACTTGTAGGACTCTTCTCAGCACTTGTTTGCTTTAAAGTTGAGATTTGAGAATTCCATGACAGCTAGGCAACTCGACTGAAAGCTCCAGAACAACTACTTATTTGACCTTGTGGTGAGATTATTTTTAATTTTAGTCAGCTTTTGTTGCTAACGTCAGGAGTGAACTTTCTATTTTAACATTGTTGTGTATTTACCTTTCAATAGGACGGCATATACGGTAATATTCCTCAGTAATGTCACAGAAAGTTGCTGAGGATCTGTTGTAGCTATTGATGATACGTTTTGTTATTTATTGTCTAATCTTTCACTAACCAGTGATATTCCTACAGGGAAATAAGCTAGCACTGATTGAAAGTGTATATAGTCTGTACTAGGACTACTGTAGTGTAGGTGGGTGTCTGCCGCATGTTACAGGAACTCACCCACATGAAACTATAGCAGCATCGACTCGCTTAGATTTGCACTTTCCACTTTAAAGATTCAGCAGAGACATACGGCGCTTTAATGTTCCGATTCTAACGTTATTGAAAAGTTATTTTTTCGTAAAAGTCTGTTCAGATAATACAGTCCTATTTCATACTGCCCCTTTTTTAAAGCTACAGTTTGACATTTTGGGGAAATTCTCTTCTTCGCTTTTACATTAAAGAATTTTACAAGTTGCATGAAAAGTTGGACTCCACTTTCATATGATACATGCAAAGCTATAACAGGTTAGTTTAGAAACTGGAAACAGGGCAAACAGCTACAGCCTGGACTTGTTCCATGTATAGTTTCTGTTTTAAATAAGCCGCTCCAACCATAACATACTTGAACCGGTCTGTCAAGTTGCATTGTGTTTTTAAATGACCATATTCAGTCCAACAAAGCTCTAGATCTAACTCAGATGAGCACTCTTCTTACCAACAGACAATTTCCCCATGTGCCAGTTAGCGAAAAGGTGTATTCCCTTAAATGTCAAACTATTCCTTTAAATGTACCCAGTATAAAAACATGCATTTTGACGTATCTCGTTCTTAAGCACAATTTTGGATCATATTGAATCTTCCAGTGTAACAGTGTATAACACGTGACTAACCATTGACACTTGTCTTTGTAAATACCAGTCAGAAGCTTCCTTCTGATAAATGTGTACACAGTGCCATGGAACAAAAGATAGCTTTTATGTGTACGACATTTTATTTTTCTGCCCTGTTGATAAGATTGACGTTGTACAAGGAGGTTTCCACTCCAGGGGAAAAACCAAGCCCGTTTGTATAGACTTAAAAAAAACACTATGTACTTTGTGATATGTCTAATTATTAGTGTAATGTTTTATATATGTAACAATTTCAGGCACCATCTATAAATGGTTTCCAAATGTTCAGACCATTTAACTGATGTTGGCGTGGTGTAAAATGTCATGTTTTCTATGTACTCCTGAACAGTCCAATAGAAATACTAAGAACACAACGCCGCTGTGTTGGTGTTTGTTCCCTCCATCATGAACTTGGGGTTTTTGTGTAACACTCTACAGACCCAGCCATTAAAACCCACTCTCTAACAGGACCATGTAGATTGGCTGCTCCGCTGCTTATTGCAATCTCATTCCCACATCCATTTACTCCTGAGAGGCCCGGGCAGCACAAAGATCCTCCTCTATTTTTCATGAGCTGCAGAGAGTTGTTACTTTTACATAAGAGTGGCTAAGGAGAGCCTGGGTTTTTGTCAATGAGTCCAGCATTAAAGACGACACGATGTGACAATCAGGATTTAAACCAGAGGCTGAGGCGCCAAGACGACGCTGCAGTCAGCTTCCCAGCAGTTAAGAGATAGGTTGCGGAACTCTATCTGACAGGGCTGGGTGATCGATTTTTTGCACCTCTAACTGTTGTGAAAGAGTAATACACACACAGGGATGGTGTCGGAAAACCACTGTCAAAATGTATGAAATGCAGAAGAGGGTGTCTAGACAAAACCACTGTACTTGGACTGTTTAAATACGGACTAGATTTTACCAGAGACGCATAAGACTCTTGAAAACACAGGTTTGAGATACATCATCACTGGATCAGAAAGTTTATGCAGCTCAATTTGGTGGTTTATTTTTTAGCACAAAGTTTGGCGGCAAATGTGGAAAGTCCCTTTTTTCACACATTGCCTAAAAGAGAATAAAGGTTTCATGAGTCTCTGGGATAATCTAGTCCAGATTTGACGAGTCTAAGTACAGTGGTTTTAAATCCTAACCTGGTCAGAAGTGGTCTGCATGTGGAAAAAGTCAAGATTTTCTAACAGTCAAGAAAACACTATCAACTTTTGTGAATTTTATTAAGAAAACAAAACCATTGGACATGATAAAAACCAAGCACTACTGATGGAATAAATAAGTCAAACCAAACCATAAATCTGTACAAGATCTAACGTGAAACAAAATGGTCCCATGAAAAAAAAACATACAAGATTTTATATCTCACAGCTTTTTTTTTTTCCTTACGCACAGTTATGAGCAAACTATAATCTATCGGCTCCATCAGGTGAGAGCTACAACATGAGTGAGATTTTTTTTTCCTTAAACTGAGTGTACATAATGCTGTTTATAACTGTTAATGTCAATACAATAGCATTTTAAGTTCCAGCGCTGCTGGACTGGGAATGAGGTATATGCTAATCCATCCTCTTAACTGAGACTGTTTTCTTTTCTCTCCATCCATGTGAACGCTGATTTGCTGAAATCTGACCGAGTCATTCTGTGTCACGTTCCACCTCTAAATATTATGTTTATGAAGTCGGTGATTCGATTGATCTCAATCCATATTCACGAGTAAATATTGATTAATCCAAGCACATCTTTACATGTGTGAGGTTGTACATTAGAGGTCATAGGTCTGAATCCGTACAATAAAGTTCAAGTCTGCACAAAACCAAGAGCTTGATGCCACGCGTGTATGGATTCAGCCGACAGACAGCACCTTGAAGGAGGAGAAGAACCAATGTCGGAGCTAAAAGACTGGAGCCTTGTGTCGGGAGCTACAGAACATTTGTGGGACGTAGATAAGTAGAGATACACAGAACATGTACAGAAGACAACGTGGGTAAATGCAAGTCGTGATGGCGGAGCAGACGAGAAAACCGGTTTGAGACGCTGGTCTGTTTCTACTTTTCGAGGAAGGAAAAAAACTACAACGTGTCACCTGAAGTAAACACAGACCAGTGACCAGGAAATCTGACTCACCAGGTTTTTGTTCAGCAGAAAGAAAACTACGTTAACGTCTGGTTAGTGTTCAAGTTCCGGTCTCAAGCGCCTCTGAAGAAACTGTTCAAACATATTGTGGAATATGATAAGAATGGGGTGAACGTCGAACAGAGTTATCTTAGCGTAACGACTGGAAACAGAAGAACAGTTCACCGCTCTGTCTGAAGGCAACAAAATCCACCATCAATCTGTACAAAGACACACAAAAAAAGTTTTCCTCAGGAAGTCGCCACATATAAAAACCTACTTCTCGTTAGAAAACTTGTCATTCATTTACTTTTGTGTGTCGACTTGAGAATGAGAGACGTCAGAGGACTGTTTTCACTGGACTCGATTTTCCAGCCCTTTCCAGTCTTTATGCTATGCTAACTTAAGCTAAGCAAACCACCTCCAGGTGTCGCTTGAGCATCAGTCTTGTTTTCCTCTGGGCAAAGAAAACAAACGTTTCCCGAAATGCCAAACTATTCCTTTAAATTAAATCAAACTGTTGTAGTTGACTATAAATATTGGATACAGCGGATTAGTGATGATTATAAGGCATAAAACGAAAAACATGGCACCAAGATTGTAATTCAAAACCTGTTTGACCTAAAACATATTTCATGGTAGCAACTCAAGGCACACACCTTCGGGACCTACGCTACCTATGCCTGTCACTACTTATTCAAGAGTTTGTATCTTAGCCGGTACCGTGGTCTTCCTCCTCTGCCTACCACAAACTAACTTCGTTTTTTTAAGAAACAAAATGAACACGTGAATGGAGAACTTTTCATGGATAGAGAAAAAAAAGACATCCACTACAGCAGCAAATCTATCTGTGATCGATTGTGACATACCATAACAGTGCATTGACCCTCCTGAGAAAAAAACCCCGAAACGTTTCCTAAACAAATATAGAACATTAACCTAACAGGAGGCGAATCGAGAGGACTGACATGACGTGGTCACCCCCCAGCCGCTGATCTGAGACCTGGTTAGCCTCTTGAGTTGTCCTGAGCTAAACCATTTAGCAGTGAAACATTTAAAAAGCGGCCTCAGAGCAGCGTCCGGGATCAACCTCGTCCGGATCTCAGATCCCCAGTGTTAACTCTTTTAGTCACAGATGCAGGTCAGGGTCTGCGGTCTGGCCTGGCGGTGGCTGGACTGGGCTGACAGCGCTGCCCCTGGTCACGAAGGGGATTGCAGCCTGGGTTCAGAGCTTCTCTTGGCATTAGTGAAAAAGTGTGGAGAACTGGAAGGAAGCACGGAGGGGACCAGTGAATAGAGGTAATATCCATTCTCCCTCTGTGGCAGAGGAGTGTTAGGGCGAGGGTGACGAACTGGAGGGAGGGAGGATGGGGGGGGGCAGCCGTCAGGTTGGAAAGGAGCGTGGGAGGAAGAGAGATGTCCGTTCTCCCTTTGGTATTGAAAGGGTGGTGGGGTGAGAAAAAGGAGAGGGAGGAGAGCCGACGTGTCCATTAGCCCTAAATTATCAGGAGTTAATGGAGGGAGGTACAGAGAGAGGGAGGGAGGGAGGAGGGGGAGGAATGACTCAGCCCCAAACGTTTAACTCTCCTCAAAGTCCTGAGATGAGGACTCCAGTTTGCTCTTCTTGGTGGGTGGGGCGTCCGCCTCTAGGTCCTACGACAAAAACAGACATTTTTAAGTACTTTCCAAAAATACGAAACAAGGACAATGTCAAGTTTTACATCAACCAGAAGATCTCTGAGCAATAATCCCATTTTGTTATCGATAGAATGTTTATGGACTGTGCAAGTGTAGTGGTGAGGTATAACAGGTGCATCAGATTTTGTAAAATGTTTCGCTGGATGTGATTTGTGTGTTGATTTCATTGTTCTTCATTTGATTTGTAAGAGCAGTTCACTTATTTTCTGGTACTCACGTTTGTTCTGGACCTGCTCTACATTAAAGATAACCTCTGATCTGATGCCGTATAAATAGGATTTGACTCGACTCAGCCTTTCCAGGTTTCAATCATACAGTGTAGCTCAAAATCTTTTTATCTGGACCAAACAAAGACCTCATAAGGTTAGCAAACTTTAAACAACTTAACATGATAAACACTCAAGAAAAGAAGCTGTGACAAAAGTGCTACGAAGACCGAGGTCCTACTGAGTCTGTGACTATAAATAACCATTCAACGTTCACTGTATGGCTTGAGGCAGCAAACTTTGACTAAGTGTAGTGGTGACTACTAAACTGATCTGTTTAGTTTGGTGAGGTGTCTGTACCTGAGTGGCTTTGCTGTCTGAAGAGTCCTTCTCCCCTGAGGACAGGCTGTCTCTCTTGGCACTTTGTGCTCTCTCTGAGGTCTCTGATGAAGGGGCGGTCTTCCCTGAAGATTGTAACACAGCAACACATCAGAACAACAGCGCGTATCTTTTTTTTTTTTTTTCCCCCCACACAGAGGAAAACTCAACACTCGACAGAGTTTTTTGAAGACACTGTGTGGGTGTGCAGAGCAAAGTCTGATGGAGTGTAATTGGATGAAACCAGCTGAGACATATGACTGTATTCAACCCAAAAGACAGAAAGAGACCAATCACATACAGTACAAAGTTGCATTCATTCATTTCTGTCTTCATCTACGTTCCCCAGGAAAAATAGCATCGAGGTGAGCTCGTCCTGCACTGCATTGATTGTACGAGTCACAGATTCGTCAAAGTAGGCGGTGAAACTTTTTTTGTTCGCACATTGAAATCTGCAAATGCCAATCGAACACAGATTTGGCTCCGAGTTCTAAAATGTGTCAGCAAAATAAACTCATACTCGAACAATTTATATTGCTTCAATACACAACATGAAAAGACATTTCATGGAAACATTTCAACCTTGAAAAAAGAAATTAAAACAACGTCAGGGGTAGAAAATCAGATATATAGGGATTTCTGTGTAGTGAGCTTACCGGCAAAAGAAAAAATGCTTTCGTACACTACTCGGCTCAATTACGTAATTGTTGCAGGATTATGACGTACAATGTCGGCCAGTGGAAAATCCCATAATACATCTTTTAAAAATATATAAATATATTCTTTTTTACATAAATACTTTAAGGGAAATAGCATGTTGAGAAACAATCTTGTTTGCATCAGTTTGTTCTGTGATGCGCTGCTCTTCGTAGGACTGGTCAGGCTGTTCCTGCTGCACCAGGAGCATAATGCATGATGGTATGTGGTATGTGCTCAGTTAGAGAGCATCAGTTGTGCACGACTTTTCACGATGCATTGTTGTAAACAGTGAGTCCACTTTACAAGGTATAACAAATTTCAAAACAGTGATTAGTGAGTGATTTCAGACACCGTCTGTGTGTGAGTGTGTGTGACTGACCCCTCTTGCTGTCCGGGCTCTGGTCAGTCTTGGTCTCACTGTTCTCACGGTTCTCACGGTGAGACAAGGTAGTGGGCTCTGGAGTGGGGCTGGTGCTACAACTGTTCTCCTGTTTCACTGGGGATGAGTCAGCGATCGAGCTCTGGTTGCTGTTGTCGTCTGGTAAAGACAGAAAGATACGAGTCATTTCAGTTTGTCTCACTTTGAGATTGTCCAACATTCAT